GATGATTACTATCATTATCATTATCATTATAACAAAAATAGTTCCCTATGTCTATTCCCTATGCATATAAGAGCTGAACGATGATTACTATGATTATTATTATTATTATCATTATGATAAAAATAGTTTCCTATGTCTGTTACCTTAGGTTTATTATTCATTATTGGCATATCATTATTCTATCTCACAGAATGAATTTATTGAAGGACAGTGTTTTGGGTTTTGTGGAGGAAAGAAAACAGTAAAAATCAGAGAAAACCCCTTGTAAAAAGAAAAAGACCTAAGAAACTGCCAGATTGAGTGTGCTTTYATACTACACTGAATTATTCTCTTTATTAATTAACATTCCTAGATAATTTGCAAATGAATGAGTAATACATTTGGTTATCACTTTAATTTTGAAGGAAGAACAAGAAAAGTAAACAAATCTTCCCAAAAAGGTAAATAAACAGAGCTAAAGAATTTAGGAATTAAAATCATTTTGAACTGGTAAACTTCAAACATGCAAAGGAATAAACTATGGTGAGAAATACATACTCTAGAAATGTCTTTTTTGTTTAGACTATTGTGGAACTATAATATTAATGCATACCTATTTTGTGAGTCATGCATAGTGTAATAGTTGATAATAGCCTTTGTTACATTTCAAGAAAGGCATTATTWTCACCATATTCTTTGCACAACTCAGGGTTAAATTAATGGCACTGAATGCTTTAATACTGTAGCAAGCTCTGGTTCAAAACAGAATAATCTGTGACTGCACAATAATTGTTGCCACGTAACATGATATGGCATCAAGTGTTTTTTTTTTCAACTCTTCCAAATGAATTGCAAATCACATGAAGGATAACAGAAATATTTACATAATTCCCTGGAGGGACATCAACACTTTATTGKCATAGAGGAAGGGATGTAATTATCATCTCCCTATTATAGTACAGTCCCTTGCCCATCCTCAAAAAAACACACACACATACACATATATATAGGCAAATCTGGTGACCAATAGAGGCTACCCATATTAATGCAYCATACAAATAATGCACCAACTTATCTAAGTAAACACACTAAGCCCTATAAGCCAATTAATGTATGTATATCAAGGAAAAATGATTGAAATATCATACTTGCATTTAAAATTAYGTACATAATTGAATAAAGCTAAATTAAGAACGTCCACACGGGAGACTTAAAACTAAAGCATTAATCTGCTTTTTGATAAAGGAATTTGTAACACTGTTGTGTCATAAATATTCAAAAAGCTGCTTAAGATGGCATAAACATTTGTTGTAGGTTGTGATCCTGCCATGCCTTTGCTGGAGTTTGAGTAGTATTAAGCTTTAGGATTTGAATGATTAACCAAAACGCTTGAAGTACTTTAGGAATTGAGTTGAAACTTGTTTGAATTGGCAACAACTTTGTAGATTAAAATTAAGATAATGTAAGGACTTAAGTATTAATTATGCTAATATCAAAGAAGGCTAAATGTCAAATCTTATAGAGGTTTAGGCTGGTGTAGGTATTATTAATGAGACAAAAATCTATACTTTTACACTATAGTTGCCAAATACATATATATATACTTTTAATTGCAACATTGTCAACAAAAGAATGATATGGCCAAGAAACTAATTCTATGCACTTGAMAAAATGAATAGATAATACAAATTGCAAAATTAAAGACAAGTAGATTTTGAAACTATTAAAGAAGTGTGGTAAATTAACCAGTCGAAGTGGCATGCTAATGTGAACAATCCAGAAGTTTTTGCAAACTAAAGTGTTGGCAGTTCTTAAGTGGCAATCTACTAATAATTATTAGAMAGCTGAATCCATAAAGGTTATTAAGGATGGATTATAATAGATAGTCTAGAACATTCTACCAACAACTAAAACAAARAAGTCAAAAAAGCAGATGAGTGATTTTAATGAAAAATACATTCAGGTCGATCAATAAGTTCTGTAGCAGAAAACCAATTTYCCTGATTGTTGATCTTAACAAATCACTTAATCCTGTAAATGTCAAGGAATCTTTAGATAGTTTTACTTACCTATGACACTCTTTGCAAAAGAAGACTTTTTTAAAGTTGCTAGTCCAAGGTCACCAATTTTTACCAACCCTGTTGTCCCATTAATGAAGATGTTGTCGCACTTTAAATCCCTGTGGATAATTGGGGGTGTCCGTGTATGTAAAAAYTGCAGTCCTTTCAAAATCTGTCTACACCAACTTTTGAGGATCTTTTCTTTCACTCCTTTGAACCTCTTGAGATAACTGGAAAAATAAAATGGAAAGTTAAAAAAATAAGAATTTTTTTTAAATATATCATGGAGGTTGGTAAGAAATATTGAAGGTAAATAATATTATTGCACAAAGGTAAATATTGAAGAATAACAAAAAATTAAGAATAACTAAAACTTTCATAGAGATAACAAGCTGAATGTYGCAGCGCCCATGACACCAAGTAAAATAAAGATTTGATGAAATCYGGAGGGTGTTCAATGATGCTATCTTAAAAGAATTAAATATTCAATTCAAGAAAAAATATATACTGTATATATAAGCTACATTTTAAACACCGAGTACAATGAAGATCACGTTGCACTGTTGCTTACAAGAATATTTTTCATATCAATGAAATAACACTTAAATGTTATATCATTATTCTAAAGCGGTTCTAAGATGCCTGACCCAAAAACTGTTGTCAAAAAAAAGCCACATTTTATAAAATGGTAATAATTGCATGATCCCAGTTTAGATGAGCAAACCTGACCATCATATAATAATTTAATATTTATTTCCAGATTTTTATTTTTATCTGTGGGAAAAAAAACACACTTGCAAATATTTTTTGATTTTTACCCTCAATACATAGTATTTCTAGTTGCAACAATATTTCCTAAGGTCAACTGTATCAAAACAAAGGAAGTAAAGTAGTTGTCTGGTTGGTGATATCTACTGTGGACTGAAATAACAATTTGGCTGGCATTCATTCATAAGAAAATATCAGYGACACTAGTGCAGTGGGAATAGAGACAGGATATCGTAATTGTTTTTGCTTAAAACTAAAGGAAAAGCTGAGTGACTTCAGACATATAAAATAAAGTAATTAAAAATGTGTGCTTCTACTTTAAGATTTTCCAATAAATAATTCTGTTGCTATGACACTTTTGACTCAAATCCTTAGACCAGGAACAATATTAATAATGGTTTCAGATGTTTCTTTTAACAGTAATAATAAATTATGACAATTTCTTTATTTATAAATTTTGTCTGTTGGKGCAAGACAAGGAACAGAATGAATGAAATCATTTGTTTATTTTCGTTTGTAGATATGTAAATATACCCAAATCCAAACCGAAAATTACAATCTCGAAATAAGCACCACTGCATAAAGCGAAACAATTTCATTAGAAAATCCTTACAACAAAACTAATAAACCAAATTTGTGGTCAGACATCTTGATCTGGAAAACATCTTCATTTGGAAGGATAGAAAATCGGCATTTCGTAAGGAAAAAAAATCTCAAACGGAAACAAAGGTGGCTGACTTCCGTCGCAACTGAATTTGGTTCACCACAGTACAGAAAGAAATACGAGGAACGGCAATTTGATTATACAACTGTTCGTCATTTAACACAGTATTATTAATTTTTTAGAAACAAAAGCATTAAAAATTCAAAGAATTGCCTCCATAACAGCAATACTTAGCTACAACGATACCGGCATATAGGTAAGTTCACTTCCTATTTCGGTATTTGAAGGCAAGATCCGGTAGCAGATTCCTTTAGCTATCAGTCTCAAGTACTCCCTTAACTTTGTATCTTTACTCCAAGATCTCTCATCTAATACTTCCTTTTGCTTCATTTTTTAGYTCAGAACTAAAACTATGATTCTAGTTTCTCTTTATCTGGTAAAATTTTTCGCATAAAATTGATGATATTTGTGAGAGAATACATGGTATTAGGGAATAACGAGACTATTTCGTCACATCCTTAGCACCTCGTATTCGACTTCGTATAAAAAGAATGGCTTGGCAATAATTTAACTTACGTTTTCAGAGTCCCAGAAGTCATCAGTTCTGTGATAAGAATGACTTTCTTTTTGTCYTTACTGGTCTGTCTATTTTCCCAAAAATCGTGAAACTTTACGATGTTCGGGTGTTTAAGTTGTTTCAACATYTCGGCCTCTTCCCTGAATCTTGCTCGCTCTGATTTCGAGTATTTGTCCTTGAAGAATTTAAAACAAGTTGAGATATTATCCCAGAAAAAGGTATAATTTTCGTTCAGAGAAGACATAAAAAGATTCGGGGAGATATTTCCTTACAAACTACAAACCTGAATTCAACTGAAAAGAATAACAAAGCAAGGAGGAGACGTATTAGACGACTAACCTGTAATTCGCACCACGCTACCGCTACTCCAGTCTCKGTATCCAATCCTTTATAAACAGTCTTGAAAGAACCTCGTCCTAGTTCGAAGTCGAACTTAAGAAAACGTCCATCAGGGCTTTGACTAACTGCCTTGTCGTCCCCTTCACGAAGTCGTTCACGACTATCGCCCTTACCCACCGACGTGTGGACCGGACCATCCACTGCATTTTGCACAGAACTACTGCCATTAGTTCCTACTTCGTCTGCCGATTCTTCGRCAAATTTCACCTGCTTTTTCACTGTCTTTTCTTCTCCTTCTCGATCCACCTTCTCGTTTGTAGCTTCCATGGGTAAATGGTTAAAGTTTAATATTTTTCAGTTAGGTTGGCGCCATTGTACGTAGCATGTACCACAGGAAAGTGAACAATTTCCATAACAAACTTCTTTATCGCTTTCTACATTTTTCTTTTTTTTACCACGATTAAAGATGAATCCTCTAATTCAAACCTGTGAATCAGTAGACCAATATTTTCCCAATAATCTTCCGTGTATATGAAGACGAATAAGGAAAAGGCCRTCCATTGCTATAAACGACTTTCACGGCCAACTAATTAGAAATTGCCATTCACGTAAGAGAAAATTTTAGCTAAGCTCTCGATATTAGGCTGGTTTTCTCACAAAAATCCAACACTACGGAGTCGAAAAAGAAGAGCCAGGATAGCCTGACGGCTTCCCTTCCCAGGTAAGCTCAAAAACTGAACGAAACGCTCCGAACTTATCAAAAATGGCGGAACAACAGAAGAGAACACAGTTAAATAGAGGGAAACTTTCCTTGAGATCTCAACGGCCTTCGCTMTACAATGCGCATGCAGACGACAACGGAAGTCTGTGGGGGGTGGACAAAGGAGGGCCTTGTCACGAAAAACACCAAAACGAGGATGTAAACCTGCAGCCGTCATAGGCTACCTGTGAAGCCTGTCAATCAARTTCCGGCGCTTGCGCAAAAGGCACCGACGCGCATTTCGTAATGTAAAGTTGCTTTGTTTTCTTGCCTCGTGACCATATGTATTCATGTATTCAGTGACATGTGTCCTTATTTTGTCACCATGTGCACCAAATATGGAACGTTGTTACAGAAAAAAAMCCCTGAAACCATAATTAATGAAATAATTTAAGGAAAAGGTGCTTCTTTCCCGATTACGAAATAGGATTTTGCTGATTCGCTTCATTTCAGTATTTTAATTTCACCCCCTACGATTAACAATGATTTCGCTTCTTTTACTAATACAGTGYATATATCATTAACCAAAACTCAAAAAATTGTCTTTAATCTCAGAAATAGTTCCTCTTTTTTCCTTTTAAAGAAACACTAAAAATTGCCAACCTGTTTCTGAACATATAGAAGTTTGAATTTAGAATGTTATCGATTGTACCCATGAAAACGAGGCAAATGATGACTCACTGAGTCGGAACCGGACGCTGTCAAAAAATGTCGAAGGAATGGCTTTGGAGAGTAGTTTTTCAATTTCCTCAGTTGAAATGCCCTCATACACCATCACCACTGCTTCAACAGCAAATAAAATTACTGTCTTTTTCTCTGTTTTTTATCTTATTTTTTTATTTCTATTATTATTAATTTAAATAAAATACATTATATGTTGGAGCGAATAACTGATTGATAGGGGGAAATTTTTCGACATAGAGGAAAACTTTTTTTATGAATGTGTTGTATATCAGTTTCGAATTATCGATAAGTATCCAAATTTTCAATCCTGTCTCTTTCAATATGCATTTTATCTTAGTTAAAAAAAAAAAAACACCTTCAAGATGATTTTATCGCTTTTTTCGTATCCTATTAGAGTTGTATTTTGCAAATCTTTAATCCGCATAGACGTCTCGACATGATTCCTTTTAAAAACACAAATCCATTATCCCCTTTTAAGCCATAATCGGTCTCTTAGTCAAAACTTAGATTTTTAGAGCGTTGGAGTATTTATGCAGGAGACGGCTGTGTCGAGTCCCTGTACTAGATATAATTATTGTCACTTGGTTGACGATCCGCGACAGTTGAATGTCTAGCATATAGAGCGAACTYGGTGAAATATTTTGCTGGAGGTACTAGGACTAGTAGTCTAAATGATGGCTCGAAATCATGAAGTATTTCCAAGTACCAAGTAGTACAACGAGATCCCTCCCCCTCCCTATGGGGAGAGGTTAGTAATCATCCAATATTTTATTCGACTGAACTTGAGTTTGTGAATATTCATGACGAAAGCCAATTGTGGCCGATGTTTGCAGGGTTTTTTCTGTGATCTTTTTTGAATGTTTTGCTTTTCTTTTTGCAAGCTAGACCAAACTACAGCAGCGAACGCTGAGGGGGTTAGTATGAGGGGGTCGGCAAAGTCTCCGATATCTGAAGAAAAAAAAGTGTCTGGAGTTCCGCAGGCTTGAATTTTGACAAAAGATAAGACTATTGCAGACAGAGATCAGATGTTTTGCAACTTACTGAAAGCTCCTGGAAGGAAACATGCTGTTCTGAACTTAAACCTAAAGATTTTCATGCGGTGATTGATTAACCGCGCTCTAGAATGCCGGTTATAACATTTTTTGCTAGTATCATTGTTCGGTAATCAGTTAGACCATTGTTGAGCAGCAGTACTGTTGGAGCTTATTGGAGTTATTTATTCAGGCCTATCGCGAGACTAAATGACATACAGAGGTTGTCTGTCTATTCAACCAAGAATCATCTTTAAAGATGACTCGTGTTCTTGTTCTTAAGGGAATAAAAGGAAGCTAGATGAAACTGAACTATCTTGACATGCGTTTTACTTCAAAACTACAATCTTCGCTAAACCAACGATCGATTCTCATGGCTTCAACATACCACGGAATAAAGATGAGGTAGGGAGGAAGGGAGGGGGGAAGGGGACCCATAGTCTTTCAATTACGGRCAATAGGGCTGTACAGAGGAGCTGTACGTAAACTGGGGTCAAAGTCCATAGTGTGAATCAAGGGTTCATTGAAGATTTCATTGGAGAGCACTTGGTATTATCCCATGATGTACCATCCATGTAACTGCTAGAACATCTACATCTCAGCCTAAAACAGGAGACATACAGTCACTTAATTTATTTTTGAATACCTTATTTTATGCATATTAATTTACTCATRTCTTACTGTACGTATTTGTCTTTTTTTTCTAAAGGATTTTACATCCTATTTACTAATTGTAATGGTTTTAGAATGCAAACACTAAAAGTGTGAAACATAAATATCACTAAATAGTGCTATTTTTATGCTAATTCTATTGTTTTCTTTTGCACATTTAATTAGTGCCAGTATTAACTACTAAATAGTGATAACTATTGCACGTACACATTTTGTGTTTGTACTCTAGGCACTTTCATTTTTTGACTCTATTTTCAGAATGTAATTGTAGACCTAATAGTTCTCCAGCCGTATAGTTTCCTTTTGTATATCCTTTGCTATCTTCTGAAGGGGCTGTTTCGTGAWATATTTTTCAAGTTTAGTCTAATGCAATAATCCCCACTCGCCGGACGTGCATGAGTTCGTTTTTTGCAAAAACGTGACTCATATGACTCACGCGTCACTGAATTTTCTTTCCGTTCACGTTTATTTCAGTACGTGCAGATTGTGTTAATAAAGCGTATGTAGCTTTTGCGAGGGGGCTGGTCCAGTCACCCTCCCCTTCCTCCTTCCCTCCCCCCTACCCCTCCCCCTCCCCCTCCCTCTCCTCAAAGGGCCGCTACGCAGACTACTGAAGGGTTTTTGCCGGAAACCAGTATCCAAGATATGCCAAGCTATGGCAACCTGACGAGTAGCATCGTATACTGACTGTGGCGCGCGCGTCAGGGAGAGCTGTTGTCATATGGATCTTCACTGTTGGACGCCGCTTCAGACTGCACTATTTTTGCATAAAAAGTTTTAACCTTTCATCAGGGCGCTACATTTCAAATCTCGAAGGCTTCCTGTCACGTGACTGTGACACATTGCAACACTTGACCCACAGATCTTCTGGCGCGTGTCGTCAGTTACGACAAATATTCTGATGATGTCATCGAGCATTTCAAAACGTGCGCATTTGCTTCTTAGTTATGAATCGTGTTATCAACAGTTCGCGCACAGCCGCTTCCCACCCCCCCCCCTCCCACGGCAAAAAACGTTCCCCCGTAGGGATGAGGGGTTAGAAGCGGCTGCACACAGGCCACAGTGGAGTATGTTGTGGATCGCCTTACTAATGAGAGTTGCGGAAATACTAATTTAGAGGAGAGGCTGATAGTATTTGTGTTTTCGTTCAGTTCAGCCACAAGAGCTTTCCTGAAAGTGTAATACTATTCCCTTGCCTTGGCGGGAAGGGAAGGGCAGCTTCAATTTCACGCACTGAGAGAGGGGGGGGGGGGGGGGGGGGGGGGGGGGTAGCCAGCACAGATAGCTGCATTAACAAACCCACCATATCGATATTCACAATCGTTTTGTCACCAGCCCTTTGGCTATGACTGCAGATGTTTGCACGAGGCATTATATGTTGTTCCGTTCCATGAACGTGGGGCAATGCCAGACACACTTAGAACTAATCATACTAATCCTACCGCGGACGCAAAAGTCGCTGTATGTGGCGCTCCAATGATAGATAAAAAGATTAATATTTGTAATGTCGAAGTCGAATGTTTTGCACTGAAAGAAAGAAATTAAGTACAGTGCCCCAAAGTTCTTCATTTCAGAAAACTGGCTCGCAAAGAGAATTCCTGCGTTACTGTCTGAAAGTCTCTTAAACCTGCAATGGATAAAAAAAACCAGGCGAGTAAGCCTCTGATAAAGTTKGATTCATTCTGGACAACTTGACTTAAGACTGGATTATGGCTATTATTTATCCAAATCAATGACGGGCTTCAAGTGGATATCTTTTTTCGTTGAAATAGTGCCTTCGGAATCCACATACCAACATGCTACGGCTGATATCTTTTAAAAGACCTAAAATCATTTAAAATACTAATGATGCTGTACAGCACATTTTTCCACAGAAATTTTTTCTTAAAAAAAATTAGTTCATGCTRTTTCTTGTCTGCCGCAAAGTATGAGCTAAAACTTCACCTTCTTAATAATAGCCCTAATATTGAGACGCTCTTTTCGCTTTTGAAGTTCATTTTGACACTAATGCTTTATGAAGTGGTTTGTGGTCAGCTTTCAAAGACAATACTATACTAGTTCAAGCGTTTATGGGTCGGAAAAGAACGAAAGCAAGCTGTAATGCCTGTGCTATTTAGGGTGTGCATGACTGTCTTGCGCCGATGACAAACCACTAAGCTATTAAAAGAATGTGACAGCATGCAAAAYCTGAGTAGCCTTGGCGGGGTTCCTATGGTGGGAAGGGTTGGGGGCCTGGGGTCTTATCTGCAGAAATAAGGGAGGGGAGAGAGGTAAGCAAACTCGCTCCTGCTATGCAATGATCCAATCTTGGGCATAGGCTAGCGGGAGGGACATGGTTTAGAGGTTCTCGTTTAAAGGATCAAGCATGAATACTGATTTGAGCATTGCTTTGTAAAAGAAGCGGGGGGCAAGAAAGGGTCGATGATGATGAACAGAGTCCTACTGATCAAAAATTGCATGAGCAAATACCAGATTTGACCTTCGTAAATGAGGTCAGATTCTTTACAATGTGTTCTAGATTTTGATCCACAAGTTGCGAATTTGATTATACAAGTTGCTTCATGGATCGGTCTCTTTATCGCCTGTCAATAGAGTGGGAGTAAATACGTATCCGCGGAACATAAATGAAATGCGCTACTTGAAAACTAGACGAACAATGAATTTACTCATGACATCGGGAAGTGATTCGGCCTATCGAAATAAAATGCGACGATGGATTGATCAAGTGATCTTCTAATGTTCGCACAACGATCATCGTACGACCCCGCGTTGACCGACTTTCGTAACCCTGTAGAAGCGGATGGGCTGGGACTCGCATCTGTTTGACTACGAAGTGTACCTTATTCTTATCCTAAATGAGGCCGAGAAAGGATTTTTATATTCTTAAGATACCACGCTAAATTTCGGGCTACAGCCCAGATGCTTTACCTCTTTCAACTTTCCCTCGCTCGTCTGCCAACACCTATGCATCATTAATGAGATCCCCCTTATGACCCAAGTCGCCGGGGAGTACTGGGTTGATTCAAGGGTTGGTCCAACAGTAAGAGCTTAAACCAATGAAATCCGGCAAGTAAACTAATAGCAGCTAAGTTCTTCTCCTTGCAGTAGTTCTTTTATCTGATATCGGCAAAGTCCTCACAGCAAGCCCTCCGATGCTCCAGTTACACGTACTTAGCCCTGACTCCCATACACACTTTTATCAAGAGAGTGCATATYGTATAATTTTTTTTAGTTTTTATTTATTTGATATCCATAACTATGTTTGTGAATCAGTGGACAACGGCCCTAGCTTCAAGATTAGCTACGGGATTGTTCCTACATGAATGTTCTCCTGGTAATAAGAAGAGATAACTAGCTAACTTGTGTGAGCTGCGTCGGTGTTTCTAATGAAACAGCAATGATAAAAAGGTAAAACATACACCGTAAAAAGATGAAAAAACTTACTGACGTTTCGGACGCTAGTCCTTCGTCGGAGTAGGTTACCCATACAGCCAATCAAAGATAATGACGGATGGCCTCCGCTTATTGGACAGCTTTGTATAGACTTAGCATCGAGCGGGAAATTCTTAAGCCCACTTAAATTCAGAACATGTTTTTYCCATTAAAATTCAATAAATATTCATCCCTTGCCTAATCCCATATAATCTCTCAGACGTTCATATATCCTGGATAAATCAATAAGCTGGTAAACATAACGGTCATCCAGTATAATTCCCATGACAATGTGTAATTGCAATCAAATCCAAGATGGAAAATTCCCGGCATATGTGTATTGTTGACACCAGACAGACAAAAAGAAAGATATCAAGAATGCTAAAGGCCGGTTTAGACGGTAAGATTTTCGCCTACAACTATCGTATACAACACGCTCGCKCCATCCTACAACTCGAGTCGTAGCGTTTAAATCAAGCCTACAACTCGCCCACGACAGACGCGCAGTCGTAGGCGAAAATCGTACCGTCTRAACCGGGCTTAAGGGACTTTACTCATTGAGTTATTTGCTTGTAGAGGGGCCGCATGGTAGTTGAAGCAAGATATAATTATTTTMTTGATTGCTGCTGACGCTCGACTCAATCACATGTAAATCCAATCTGAAGYCTGGGGTCAGTGGTTACTAGTGATTAAAGTAATGGGCATGACTGATACAAAAGAGTCCTAATCTTTGATAAATCATTTCGTTGATAGAGATATTTCATTCACGCCATCGGTGTATTTGTGTATTCAACGGTTTTTTGATGTCCTCAAACTCCGTTACGCAGTGAAAGCCTTTTCAGTTCTTTGAAAACGCAATGACAAGACGTATATTTGTATGGCATACGTACTTTTGAAAGACAAGAGTATGGTGGTAGGTCAAGAGAAAATGAACCAGTTCATATTCTCTTGGGTAGGTTTCATTGGCAAGACCTTATCAATTCTGATCATGAAAAACGCGCACAATCCCTTACATACTGATGGCGGAGTTTCACCAGCTCTTCAAACTGACCCTGTTTCAGTCAACGTTTTTGCACTAGTAACACAACACAACAACAAACAAACAAAAAGAGAAAGAAAACATTAGAAAAGAAAAGGAAAGTAARAAAAGGATAGTTAGAAAAAAATTAAGCTAGGAAATTTTAGTCCATCGAACACAAGCCTTTGTG